TGGTAGAGGGATGGCAGAGGAGAAACAGCTCATGGTATGGTGGTGGGAAGCAAAGAGAGATCAAGGGAGGAGGAGGGAGTTAGACCCTTCCAGGCCACGCCCCAGTGACCCACTCCTTCCCACCAGGCCTCACCCCCAACATCACAGTCAGCTCTAAAATTATCATCAGTGGATGAATTCACTGCTGAGTATCAGTTCCAGTGATCCAGTCACCTCCCAAAGCCCCACGCATGAGCCCATGAGGTTTTGGAGGGACATCTAAATATAAACTATAACAGACCCGAGTGCCCCAGACCTTGGCCACCCTGAGGCAGGGGTTGCACTAGATAAGCTATGACAACTTGGTTTTACCTTCACTGTCCAAGCTGCCCACCTCCAGGATTTGACAGCAAAGCTTATTATTTTCATCAGAGTAGGACAATTAGGGAGAAACAGGAACCAAGTGTTCCACTTGGGTGTGAGAAAATGAAACACTGTTGATATGAGATGACCATACAGCTGGATGAGTAGAATGTGGTGTCCAAGGGCCTTGGTTAGAAATGAACAGTCAGGGGCTGGGCTCTGGCAATTGTGACCCAATGGGGAGAATCCAAGATGATGGTTGGGATCCCCATTAGTGGGCAAAGCACATAAGAGAGTGGTAAACACATAGAAGGCCAGCCAGATGGCATCTGAGAACTGGGCATACACTTCCTAGGGTGGGATTAGGAAGCAAGGTCCTGTCATGGGAAGGGGACAGGAAGAACAAAGTAGGAGTCTAGGATTTCTAGGGTCCTAGATTCCTGTTCTTGGACCTGCAAGGCCTCTGGATTCTAGTGACGGCAGCAGAGGAAGCATTGAGGAACAAAGATGGAGGAAGATGCAGAGTCGGAGACAGAGTCCAGGGGCTGGATGGGACTCAGAGTGAGGTGTATGCAGGAGTCAGGGCCTGTGCCCTTGGGATGGAGGACTAGGCTTTGCCAGTTGCTGCTGACCTTAGACCACAGTGGGTCCTGCAATAGAGAAGTGATGCCAGCCAGAGACTACAGTGTCCCTGCTGTGAAAGGAAGAAAGGAGGACACGAGGCAGAGGAGCTCCTGGGCTGCCACTACAGGCAGGGATTCGCTAGCAGCTGCCTGAGGCACTGTCACCCACACCCTGACCTCATGGAAAGCCAGAAGCAGGACAGAGTTTCAGAGAACCACCTTTCAAAGATGCACAGTTTATATTTCCATAGGTAAAAGTTATACTTTGATCCCTTTCTTGTTTGCAGAAGGTCTACCGCCATTTTCTGTTATCTATCTTTTGTTTTGCTCTTTCATTTATTTATACTTTGGGTGGAGGGGAAGATGGCTGAAGAAGGAAAATGTGTTATATATGTGCCCCAGCATTCCATGAAGAATGGAATAGTTACCTACTGCAAACATGTGCTAATAAAAATCTAAACGCAAATACTTTAAATATTCTAAAAACAGGAGTACCATTTTAATTGAGATCACTAATACCATTGTGTAGTATTGACACTATAAACCATTAGTAGTATTTTTAATCCTTTCCCTCACTGTACAGTAAAAGTCCTACTAGGATCCATCAGAAATGCTCTCCCCAAAGTTTGTCTGCAGTTACCTTATGGTGCAGTCCATGCCTCCACTTGACTGGTGATGCGCTGAAATCTCCCACACAGCATCCGACTGAACTGGATGAATCATCTGACATCTGGCTGTTCTTCATGTATAAAACCTGCAAGTACACATGGGCCAGCTGATAGATCCTGCCGCACCTGCCCTCTTTACCTGCCCACCACAGCCCCTCCCTGAACTGGGAGCTGTGGGAAACCAGCTGCTCAGTCCAAAGAGCCAAGTGGCCAGCAGATGTTGCAGCCCAGCACTCGCCTCCTAGGCAACAGGATGGGTCCTGGCTGCCTTTTCCTCTCCCTCAGGACATGGGATGGGGTGCACTACTTTCCAGTCTATCAGCAACTGACACTTGATCTTGATCTGCAGTGCTTTAACTCAGAGAAATGTCAGAAATCGGCTAAAGAGACTGTGTTCCAAAACTGTATTTCCTCCAAAATTTGGCTAAACCCTAAGTTTCAGAAGTAACTGTTTTCATGCCTAGAAACTCCACTTCAGTGCTTCTTTTCCATATGTGAATAGATTTACACAGAACCATGAATATTCTTAGACACATACACACATGTGCACATACATGAGATGGTGGGCTGAATTTACAATAGTGTCTATCTTAGTTAATTTCTTTGTTGTTGGCACACGATACCTTACACCCAGAACTCTAAGGAGGAGAGGTCTGTTTTGGCTCACAGTTTGTAGAGAGGTTCCAGGACATAGTCAGCTGGCTCCAAGGCAGGGCAGCATGGCAGAGGAGAAACCATCCATGGCATGGCAGCAGAGAGAGATCAAGGGAGGAGGAGGGAGATAGACCTCTCAAGGTCACATTCCCAGTGACCCACTCCTCCCACCAGGCTTCACCTCCTAAAGTTACATCAGCTATAATCTCATCAGTGAACTAATCCACTGATTATTATCATACCCCCATGATCCAGTCACCTCCCAAAGCCCTACATATGAGGGCATGGCTTCAGGGCACATCTAGACATAAACCATAACAACATCTCTGTAATAGAATTGTTTCTCTGCGAAGAGCAGGAGCAAGCACCATATGTCCATTCAGAGCCTTGTTCACTGGTAGGTTCCAGAACTTAGATTCTGGGGGCCGCAGTGCTGCCGAGGGTTATGTCTGAAGGCCCTGTGTCTGTCTCTTTATTCTGTCATCACGCTTTTCCCTCAGATTCTTCACAAGCTTCTTCTTCTGCGGTGCACATGCTGTTGAACTTCACCCTAATTCTGCTCTGTGTCACTGGGGCCTTGTCCTCAGGAGCTGGGCTTGGGCGGTGGGGAGCAATTTCACCTCAGCAGGACTCTGGGGTTTCCATGTGGCTTTGCACTCCTTATGACCAGAGAGACGACGCGGGATGGGCATGAAAGCAGGACACAGGCAAATGACTAAATGATGAGAGGGACTGATTTGTGAATGACGATCAAGGAGGCCACAGTTTCTGTCAACACAAGCAAGTCCTGAGCGAGAGGGTCTGGGCAGCTGTATGAATGCTGGACAAAAAAGAGAGGGAGAGACCGCCTCACAGCCACGCAACACTAGCCACATAGGGTGGTGATGTGAAACTGAGAAAAAGCTCATAGCCATAATGGTCTTGAAAAATTTCAAATGGGACTGTGTGTTAGCTGCCTAACTGTGTCTTAATGAAAACACAGCTGTGCCTTGAAAAACATTTCTCCATCTCCCTTGGGTTAGCCTGATGCGTTTCAACTTTTCTCTGCAGAAAGTGCTTCTGAAATCTCCCTCAGATCCCCAGAAGCAGACCGCTGCTGCTCTAGTGCTACTTGAAAGGGCCCTGCACCTTGGGGCCGCTGTTCTCAGACACATTTCCCAGCCGTGAAACACTGGCAAGCCCTGTGCTATAGATGCCGGCCCAGGCTCCCTTTGCACAAAAATCACACTGTGGTTTCCTTCATGTTCCTTTTTTTTTTCTGTCTGATGGTGTTAAAAACCTTTTTCCACTTCGGCCCACCTGATTGGTGCTGAAAATTAAGTGATCTATTTTAGGGCTTTCCCGGAAAATACCAAGGGACCTTGGAAAAGTTGCTTCCACTGTGTGAGCCTGTTCTCTTATTTATAAAAGAAACATACTAATAGCATTCTTTATTATTTAGCCATAGATATTGGAAATAATATATGCAGAACGCCTTGTATCATGATGAGATTAGAGTACACACTCAGTAAGCGTAGGTTTTTAATTTTTATCATATACATTTATTCTATATGTTTATGTGTACGTGCCTTAATTTCTTCAACTGACTTACATTCTCTAAAGAACCTGACATGTAGCAAGTGCTCGGGTAACAAATTGTTGAATCACTAATTAAATGAATGAATACACCAACAGATTGATTCCAATAACTGTCAACTGCAGAGCATGTATAGAAAGGGGCTTGGCAATCCATCCCGAAGCAGGACCAACCCGCTTGTCCCCCTTGCCTGCGGAGAAAGCTGAGACAGGAAGCACCCTCCCCAGAGGAGGGTCCAGCTGACCTGGTGTGTCAGAGTTCTCCCTGCCTGCGACCGCTCCTTCTCAACAGCAGTAAAGAGTTGAGGGGTTTTTGGAGCCCAGGAGTGGAGCATCAGAAATGCAGGGGAAGCACCGATCAGCCTGCGGAGGACCCAGATTGGGCGCTGGCAGGTCTCTCCGGCCCCTGGATTGAGGATTCAGCCCTGGAATTGGAGCGGCAGGAAGAAGGCCAAGGGAGCCGGGCTTGGGTCTGCCCTCGTCCACTACACAGCGTCCCTGACACCCCAGCTTGATGCCCCAGCAGGTTATAGGAGGACGAGGCAGAAACACAGAAGTCGTGTTCCAGACACGCACATACGGGGGATAGAAGCACAGTGTTCACTGCTGGAGGGTAATGGTGTTGGTCATTGTCGGAGTTGGTGGTGCAGGGTGTCAGGACCGAGAGGTGTGACTAAGTCTAGTGCTACGTGACACTTTCCCTGCTCCACCGGAAGCAGGTCTGGATGCTATACTCAGGTTTTACCTTTCCAAAAGGGTAAATGCCACATGTGCGAAGAACCTACCTGTAATACAGTGCCTGTGGTCTAGAACCTGCGATTTTCTCAGAAGACAGTATGACAAGAAACTGTCCCTTCAGTGTGAGAAAAATGTCTCTGTTCCATTTAAATGTAGGCCTGACAGTGCAGCCCTGATTTATCCCTAGAAACTGGCTACTGAGCCAGACACGGTGGTACTTGCCTGTAATCCCAGCACTCAGGGGGCTGAGGCAGGAGGATCACCATGAGTTCGAGGCCAGCCTGGGCTACATAGTGAGTTCGGGCCAGCCTGTACTACACAGCGAGACCCTGTCTCAAGAAACAAACAAACAAACAAAAACCTGACAACCGAACCGTGCTTTCAGTTTTACACAAAGCAGTGCTTTCGGCTACCTATATTCGGGCACAAACTTGAAAAAGGAGGCAATGCTTTATGATCACCTGAGAGAACAAACACAGGAAAATCCGGAACCAGATTCTTCATGTTCAAAACTGGAAAACCTCTGTACTATGAACTTCAGTGGAAAATGTGAAGAGGGGAAGTCAGCCTGCATAAGGTGCTTTGTGAAAATGTGAACCGGAAAGAAGCCATGCAGAACAGTGTAAGGATGAGTTTGTGATTAGTAACATTTCCTTATGTTGCTTCTGACTCTTACTTCTGGGTATGAGAATGTTCCCTGACTCAAGAATTCACCTAAGCCTTGATCTTCATCTTTAAAACATTTTCTATCATGTCACCCTCAAATATTTGAATTTACTTCTTTCCAAATGTGATAGATGCCATAGAAAGCACGTCTCATCAGCACAAGTCTAAACAATTCCCTTTTATCTTAAAAACATCTCCATTCTTTGAAATGGTGTCGCAAATCTTATCTCTTTTGACACACAGCTGAGCATGTGCACCTGCTGAGTCCTACCACGGTGTCCCATACACCTGTTGCTTTTTCTGTCATCTTTAATCCAGATGGGCCTCAGGTGTGATTTCTTGTTTGTCTGAGAAGTCTCCATTGGGAGTCAGGAATGACACATCATCCTCTGGTCCTAAACAAGCTTACAGTTCAGTATCAGGTTTCCATCCTTACGTAGAACTCTTTTCCAAGGTACAAACAGAGTCTTATTTGGTAGTTTTAACATAACCAAGTAAGCAGTCTAAACAGCATGTTTTTCTCCAAAGTGCTCCATACTGCATGCTGGGAGCGATAAATAAGGAACAGCAAATGTTAAGATAGGGTTAGAACGGAGAGAGGCCAGGTACAGAGTGAGAAGGTGTTCTCCACTGCAGGAAGAGCACAGTCCCGTGCAAGGCCCTGGGGCCCCGAGGCCCGGCCTGTGCTCGATTCGAAGGGGCTGCTTCACCTCCTCAGCCTCAGAGCCGTTTCACTGGGCTGGGGGGTGTGGAGCCCCGGACCAGCTCTCTGCCCATGCACACCCAGGCCTGCAAGGCTGTAAGGCTGGGTTGCTGCCATTCCCAGGGGAGCCCTCACGGGAGGACGTGGCTGCAGGATGTGCTCGGACAGGGACGTCACAGCCTGGACTGGGGGTTTTGCTCTTTCACTCCATGCAGAAGTCCGTGAGAGCATTTGGTGACACTTCCGTTTTGGGAAATGCCTTTTGTGATCTGCCTGGCTCTGCACAGGAGTGCACCTCCCCCTCCTCTGGTTGCACGGTCTCGGTGGTATGGATCCACATGCCTCTCTATTTTTGTCGCTGTATCTTGCATTTTTATTGGGTGTTACACACCCACTCCTCTTGTTGAAACTTCACAGGGTCTAGTTGTGCTTTACTGCCGGCTCACACCCACACTGTTTACAATCTGAAGTCGTTTCTATGTTCTTCTTATTTCCTGGTTGGAGGAGAACTTTTTCTTTTCTTGTAATGATCATCCAAAACCAGTTTTTATTTATTCCTAAATTGCGGAGAGCAGCACATGCATTTGCCTTCATTCTTCTCGCTGTTTCATCTCACAGTGTTCCCAAACACACGCCCAGTCGCTCCGTCTTGTAAATATTTTAGGCATTTGTCCTCAATGTCAAAAGTCACAGAAACGAAGCAGATCTTTGAACCGCTTTTGAAAAATAATCACTATGGCGCTGTCTCAGAGGCTCACTGAGCCGTTTTTTCGGAGTGAACACAGCTACCTTGTCTCCCCATCTTGAAGTCTGAGGAATTTCCTTTTTACCGCATAGTATTATTTTTAAAGGAGCTGTGTGCTGAAACTTATGAGGTAGACCCAGCTACTACATGTAGAAAGAATGAAGTCAGCTGACAATGTCCACGCAGAACTTCGTAGGCAGTGAGGAGGGCGGGGCGTCACCAATTCCTTCTTTCACTTTCAAATCTCGAGACCAAAGCTCGCCCGGTTTCCAATCCCTGTCTGCTGTTTTCCGAACGGTCATGGTAATCATGTATGGATACAAGCTACCGGCGACACCCTCTTGGCTTCCGTCTCCATCCTGTGACATCCTGCGCGTAGCCTGGAATTCCAGTCTGAAGAATAAAGAGAACAGGAAAGCCAGAGAGAAATGTAGGCTCAGCCCCCGTGGATAAAATGTGTGTCAGCTCTCCTCGCAGTTTCCTGATGGTGCTTCCAGAGGCGGCCTTCTTCCCAACCCCAATCTTTCCTCCTGAAATCACAAGATGACAAATACAGGCGGAGAATATCTAAATTCTATCTCTTTTGCGTATTGAGGAAAAATAGTTTTTTCCAGGCTCCTTCCCTGGAACGGGGTGGAGCTCACATGGGTGAAGGTTAGAGTTTCGATTTCCAATGGCATCCAGCCTGTCCCTTCCTCCCAAAGCCTGTGATTTCTTCTTACATGAGTGACACTTGTCACTTTAAAATCTTTGGGCTTCTTACCTCAAGCACAAAAATATAATGTTAACTCTTGTTTTTAACCTTCTTCCAAAATTATTTTGGCCTTGCCTCTCCAATATAGAGTTTTGTCTTTTCCTTAACTGCATCCCAGTTTTGAGATTTTTTTTGAAAAGAGAGTTACATTCATCGATGTCAGAGGGTATTCCTAGTTAGATCCATGACTCCACTACATGGTACAGAAGTGGAAACAGTCTATTTGTTAGGAGAGGGTCACATTTTAAATTTGAGTAGATTATATTCTCCAGATGTTTGCAACATTTACCTTCAAAACAGCCAGATATTCGTGTTACATTGACTTTTCAGAGTGAGACTCACAGTAGTCACCATTACTGAGAAACTATATATACAAACAAGCACGTTCTTTTTTTCTTTGATAGAATGAGTGTAGTGCATTCTTGGTGAATTAGATGGAGACACATGGCCTTGTACTGAACTTCCTTTGTTTGGGTGCATACTCCACAGGGAAAAACAACTTTAATATCTTTAAAAGTTTATTGTTTGCACATATATTAGCTTTTGGGCATCCCATAATCTGAAAACAGAGATTCTTGTCATCATAGCACTGCTCTTTGTAGGTGAGGAAAGAGAGACCCTTACACAGCTGGTCTGAGATTCTCAAATGGAGTCTGACTAAATCCAGATACAGTATTTCCACAATAACTTAAGATAAAGCCAGAAGTACCAGTGATAATAGCTACCTACTTTTTGTTAATATCACATGCTTCCTTTGGGCTAAACAATCTACACACATCATTTTATTTCATCTCATCCTCACGACAGTCCTGTGTTTGGTAAGTTTTCTTATTCTAATTTTATATCATAGGCACCTTCAGTTCCGGTGTCCTAGAGCATACAAGTGGGTCCTAGAACATACAAATGATCAGTAGAAAAGTTAGGATTTGAATCCAGGACCACATGAGTGCAAAATTCAACCCCACTGGGTAGCAACAGAGTGATAGGTGAAGGTTTGGAAAGGCCTGACCGGGCCTGTCCTTTTGGTGAGAATCCTGGAGTCATCTTATAGTTCATGTCTTCCTGAATTTGTGGAAATAGAACTACTGAAGGGGAAGAATCTCCCCATGCTTCTCTTATTTATGCCGTATATAATACAGAATTTCCCACCTTGAACACATATCACTGTGCTGTGCTAACAGCTTCTAAACGCAGTACAGGAATAAAATTACAGCCGTTAGAACATTTTCATCAGAAAGAAATTCCGTTGGGATGTAACTGGCCCCTGTGTTACCTGTTAGCTCTTTTCCTCAGGCCTGAGGAGGGTAGTGTTTTCAGACTTCTCCCACCTTCTGAGTCTTTTTAATAACTTCTTTTCTTCCCAAAGTGGCATTCAGTGTAGTCTCCACTGGCAGCATCACCATCTGCTAAAATGTTTTTCATTCTCAGTGCCATTAAGAAAACCTAAGGAAACCCTAATAAAGCCCGCCTTGCTTCCCCAGTGCCTGTGGGGTTATTCCCTGCACATAATTCTCCAAGGCCTGTACTGCGGATAGAGGTGGCCGGGGGAAGCCATGTTAATCAGAGGGGATGGCTTGCAGTGGGCTCATCCCTTCATGATCCTGATAATAACTGGTGCTGCCAGGAGCCAGGACTTTATTTCTACTGCACCAGTACCTGCCGCATCCATGCCTTCCACGAGAGCCCTTCTCAGATTTATAACGGTGGTAGCTGTTTCTTCAACATGTTAAGCTTCCCAGTTAGTAAATGTTAGGGAACATTTTTAGTTAGGAAAATCAGGCTTTTCCCTCCCTTATAAAGTCTCTGTTATGGTTGATACATTGCGTTAACTTGAGAACTGAGAAGTGCAGAGGCTTAACTAAGTGACTCAGCAGAGGGCCAAGGTCCTCACTTTGTAAACCTCCTGAGCTTGTGGGAGAGAAGTACACAGAGACTGTGTGGGTGGATAGCAGCTGCACAGTGTAAAGGCTTTCTCTCCCCACCTTGCGCTCTTGCTGATTTTGCTGTTTTCTGCCACCTTGAACCGTTGCCCCTGTGCCATGCCAAGCTGCCTTGGAGCCAGCCAGGTGTGGACTGAAACCTTCACAAACTATGAGCTTTCCTTCCTTAATTCTGGGTGTCAGGCATTTTGTCTCAGCAGTGAGAGAAAAGTAACCAAGACAGCCTCCCTCCAGGCGGTCAAGTCTGCTGTGGCTACATCCACCCCACCATCATCTCACACGAGCTGTTTCTACTCCCACCCTCGACCTCCCACCTCAGACCTGAGCTCCTCCCACCTGCAGCTCACCAAGGCCCATCTCCATCTGAGGTTTGCAAAGAGGCCTCAACTTGTGTGGGCTTCTTGGGGCCAGAGAGAGACTACTGTGCGTGCCTCTGTGTGTCTCACATACAGCGCGGCACCAGACGCTGAGCTGGCTCCCAACACATGCAGAAGAGCTGGAGTAGCCCCTGCGTGCCAGGCCTTGGTTGGTGCTGGGATGCTGAGGCGAGGAAGAGCCAGACCGCTTCTGCCCACAGCACCCCTTTTGCTTTTGTCTGTACCCACACTAGTGACATGCATGTGCGCACGCACGGGTGTGTGTATGTGTGTGTGCACATGCGCTCATGCACATGCCTGCGTGGAACTTTTTAATACTTGTTTTGTGTGTACATCTTATTTTCTTAAAAAGACCTCAGGCTGTCTAAGAGAAGAACTGATACTCGCTATCTGTTTTTTCTTGATTATGTTCACACCGTAGGTTCTTAGCATATATAAGTTCTTTGACTCAGTTATGAGCACTCATTTTCCTTCAGCTCTCTCAGTTCTTTCACCAGTAAAAGCAGACACCAGTGGGAAGTTTAGGTAACATTTTGATAGAGACATTGCTACAGGTGTGGGTCTATGGCTCAGCCTGGAACATAGTAGAGACTGTTGAAATAATCATTCCATATCTTTTTTCTGTTTACAAAAATTGTTGATTTTTGGTTTGGGTTCTGGGGACCAAACTCGGAGCCTTGCACATGCTAGGCAAGCGGTCTCCCACTGAGCTACACCCCAAAACTGCTGATTTTAAGCTCTCACTGTTAGTTCTAGCCGTCTACACCACAGGGCTGGAGCTGTGCTGCAGCTAAGGACTTGAGAGACCAAGGCAAGTGCAGGGTGGAAACGAGGGCCCGAGGGCAGGGAACTCAGCTGCATCACTGACACTGCGGTGGAGGCAACTCTGAGCTCTGGGACTCGCAGGTCCAATGCCCTATGTCAGAGGCCAGAGTCAGAGGTCAGAGGTCATAGTTCTGCTGGCTGATCCCTTTTGCTGCCTACCCCAGTGTGAGATCCGCCAGACAGAACCGGGTTTGTCACAGGGACAGCTGAGTAACTTTCACCTTGCTGAGTCCAGAATCATGATCATAGCCAGACCCTGAAATCAGAGCTCTCTATTCATTCAACATCTATCCACTGAATAAATATTTAGAGGGTGCCGTGCCAAGCTCCAGTGAACAGAAAGGACAGAAACCCTGATTCTTGTCTTTTCTTAGTCACAAGGAAATCACCTATTTAAGAGGTGTTTCAGTTTGTCACATGTAGACGATAGCTTTAGGGAACAAAATTGCTTTTCT